ATTGTAGTTCACATTTTGAAAATTTTAAAATTTTTTTTTTTTTTTTGCATCTTGAAAGATTAGATTTCACATAATTCATCTTAAATATATTAAAAATATTACAATATGACCCGTCGGTTACTAATTATGTCAACTTTAAAGGGGTAGTTTTTAACGGAATAAAAAATGAAAACTAACAGATATGAAAAAGCCTATTTTTTGTTTGATTTACATTTCAGAAAACTGTTTTCTGTTTTCTGTTTTCAGAAATAGTTTATCGGAGAAAAGTTGTTTGATTAGTTGTTTTTTGTTTTTGTTCTTTGAAAATTGAGAATAAAAACTAAGTAGATTTTAGAGAATAATTTATAATTGTTTTATGTGTTTTTAACAATAACCTTTGCGGGATTTAAAAAAACACCACCACCCACCAACACCCATCCACCAACATCACACTTACATCACCACCACACTTCCACCACTACCAAAACCCACCACTATACTTCTACCACCATCACCACACTTTCACTATCACTACATTTTTGTTTTATTTTTTTGGGTTATTATTCAAACAAGTTTTACTGTTTTCTATTTCGTAGAACTATTTTTAGAATCATCTAACCAAACAAGTTATGCGACACAAAAAATATTAAAAATATTTTTCTAAAAGTCTTTCCAAAAATATTTTTCCTAAACAAAGCTAATTTTTAAACGTGTAAAGTGAAAAATGCTAAATATTTTGGAATACGTACAAAGTGCAATTTTCCCTTTTCTTAATTAACAATGCTTGGAACGTGATCCTGACAGCCTCAGTGATTTTTAAAAAGTACTGTTTGCAACACAATCCTGCAAATCTGCTTTGATTTTGATAGAATCGTTTCTTTATTTTGTGTTCACGGTAAACGATGACTTTAACTGCATGGACTAATTTTGAAGGCATCTTCATAATCATTTGACTATTGTTGTTGGTGAAGAATGATTTTGGATTACGAGGACCTAAAGAAAATCCAGCAAGCGAGGTGTATCATGCAACAATGAGATAATTGCAATTACGCCCTTTCGGGTTTCTGATATTTTTACAACACCTTTTTTTATTTTTGAAATTATACTGAATCCCTTCTAATGTTCTAATAGTGTGCCACAGATTTCCCCTTCAATTAAGTTACACAACTTTAAAACTTGAACTATCCATTATATCCTTGTGTGGGAGAACCAATATTTGGCTGGTGCATTTCTTTTTTCAGTACATAAAATGAATATACAGATAGACAATTACACATATCTATCTGTAGGAGACTTCACTGTACCTATGTTGAGGCGAAACTAAAGTCACTTCGTGTGCTCTAGGTGTTGAAAAATAAATTTTACCCCACAAAGTTGTCGTAACTGTAGAAACCCAAACTCAAATATTGAGTTAGAAAATTCAAATTCTTATCTACTAGAACAATTGCTCAGTGGTATTAGTGCATTTCTACTCTCATAGACAAAAAAATTGCGGAGAAAAATTTCCTACATGTTTGTTGGAAAGACATGCCCACAAAATTTACACTAAAAATCCTTTAAAATATTTATCAAAAATTGTCCCCAAAATTTACCGAAAACATGGTCAATAAAATTTGCAGATACATTTACATCTAAAATGAAAAAAAATGAAAAAAAAAACTACAGTAATAGCATAATTTTACAAACACTAAAGGGGTCTAGTTAAATTATTTTTTATCTAAATATACGGGCGTGCAAAGTTGTAATTTCACAGCATCATCCATTAATGTGTTTACACTGACAAGGTATGTCGGTGTAATTTTTGGGGAAAAAGAAAAAAAGGGGATGCAGTAAAAAAGTCAAAACAATAAAGGCTCTTTGCTATGTTTCTTGAGAGGAGGTTATATTGATTTATCTAAACCCCGATTTCACCCAAATATGAGATTCAATATTTGATACTGTTTATATCTATATTTGGTATGCGTAGGGATATATGACTATTATGATAATATATTTGTATATAAATGACAATTTTATCCCTTAACAAATTTAATCTAAACTCAAGTGGAGAATATACGAGGGGTATAAATATCTTTTAAATATTAAACTCATTAACCCATCTATGAAACCCACCCCCTATGAATTTCATGAAACCCAAGTTCATGGGTTTTATGATCGGGCCATCCAACGAGCTGAATTTTCAAATCCTGGGTTAAACATGAGTTACCAAACATTGGTTTAAGAGATTTATTTTCTAACTCACAATCCAAATCCCTCCTAAACCCATATACCAGACAAGCCCCAAAAGGGTTTGATTGTAATTTACCATACAACAATTGAACTTGATCATAATTTATAGAATTTGAAATTGAGAGTATTCAAGTCCAATTTCATAATCATACATGGCTTCCGTACTAACATCATGCTACCAATTACCTTCCCTCAAAAAAATAAAAAAATCATGCTACCTATTGATTTAAGCTACTTCAGTGGTATGAATTAAGTCTGACAATGGTGTATTTTGTTAGTTCAATGGTACGAAAAAGGGGCGATAATGTGTTTGGTCGTGTCATGTCAAGGTTTGTGTTACGTAAAAAATTATTTTTTTAATGCTCAATCTATTTATAGCTGCATAAAGTAGAAGTCTTGTCATGTATAAAATTGTTATAAGTAAATTTAAGACTTAATCATGGTATTGAAAAATAAATTTGGTACCGTATCTTTAAATTTTATTATTTTATTAAATTTTTTTTATACCATTTTACAATAAATTTGTTTTTACCATATTTTTAGGTGATTTATCACTTTTATAATTATTTTTATTACTTTTATGAGTGTTTCGATTATTGTTATGGTAACTATTTGTATCATTTTTTTTTGGTACAAAAAAAAATTTCAATCGAATTCAAAGTGAATTTCAATCGGGGCTAACAACTCAAGTAGAGTTCAAATTGGCTCGAATTTTAATACTTAAAAAAAAAATTTTAATAGGCTCAAATTTTAATATGTAAAAAAATAAAATTTAATCAACTCGAATCGAATTTTAATTGACTAAAATTTGAATATATAGAAATTTTTTTTAATCAACTTGAATTTTAATCATCTCGAGTTTTAATCAAATTTTATGTAGAAAAGTTATTTGGAATTTATGTAGAGTTAATTTTGGTATTTGAGATCATTTATTTTTGTTATAAATGGTGGTTTAATAGCAGGGGATGTAAGTGATATTTAAATATAAATTAAAAGGAGTGTCAATAATGTTTTTGACAATAAAGGGAGTGCCTTTAAAAATATGATAAATTAAAAGGAGTGTGACTGAAATTTTTCTTTAGTTCTATTACTTTAGCTTTAGGTTCATCAATTTAATATTTAATTTTATCAAATTAATGTCTTTTATTTAATTTAAAATAAATTAATATTTCATCTCATCAAATCAATACAAAATTGATATTTAATTTTTTCAAATGCTTGGTTATATTAATTTAATATTTTATGTCATTAAATTAATGTTATTTCTTTAATTTAACATTAAATTTTTATTTAATTTAATCAAATCAATACCAAATTGATATTCAATTTTATTAAATTAAAATTTAATATATTAATTTCTATTAATTTAACATTTAACCTTATCAAATTAATGTCATTTATTTAATTTAACACCAAATAAACATTCAATTTCACTAAAGTAGCATTTAAATTTATTCAATTAACACTAAATTTTATCAAATCAACACTAAATTATATTTAATTTTATCAAATTAACACCAAATTAATATTTAAATTTATCAAATTAAGACCAAATTTATGTAATTAATATTAAATTTTATCAAATAATATTTAAATTATATATATATGAGAAGAATGGTCATGTGATGTTGTGAAGGATAGACAATAACAAAGAAGTTAGAAATTGACAGGGTTTCAACATTGACTTTATCGATTGTAAGTTTTATTATAAAAAAAATTATTTTTAACTATAAAAATTATAAAACTCGATTATATAACCAAATGAGTAATAATGTGATGACTAATATTATAACAAAGTTATCATGCAACGCTTTAAAATAATAAAAATTCATTAGAATAATATAATGATAGAATCAGGCTTTGCTACTTGGCTAGAGTAAGGATGGTAGTTGATCGAAGCAGGGGCGGAGAGTGTAGTCTCCATCCTTATACCTGCTTAAAAAAATTTCATCCATCCCCAGATCACTTTCGTTAATTGGTATAGTTTTCATCTCCATCCTCGTCCGCGAGTAAATTTATAATCTCCGCCCCTGTACCATTCTCGCCTTCACCCCCCGCCCAACATAATACAACATTGTAAATAATCTAAAAAATAAAAAAAAAAATGCATGTCACCAACTGAAAATTATCACATAATTACTCTCATCAATAAGGACTAGCATTTAGTATACTAAGTGGGCATGAAGTCTATCCATCATTGTTAAAGCAAAAAATCTATCTAACAATTTTCAAAGAGCGAAAATCATATTCAAGTAGAATAAACTCAAAAATCAGCAAAAATCATATCTAACACTATAATTAGAACTCAACAAAGACCATATTCAAGTAGTATAAAATTAAAATCTAAGAACTAAATTAGAGAAATGTTATTAATGAAAATGGTTAATTACACTAGAGGTCTCTAAAGTATGGTGTTTGTTTTATTTTGATTTTTAATATTTCAATTGCATCATTTTTGTTTTTGAAATATTGAATATGTTTTTATATAATTCTTCAAACAAACAAAGTTCAAATTACTGACTTTTTTTTAATCATAAACTTGTTACGTAATCTATACAATAAAGTATAATGATTTTGAATCCAAGAGACAAAGAACGGTTGAGATCGTTTTGTGACCAAAAAAGACATCATCCAACAGATGATGCTATTTCAAACTGTCTCAAGCTATTGACGTCTTAGATCGTTTTGATCCAATGTACCACATTAACTTTTGAAATATTTTTGCCGCTCAAAATTTTTAATTTCTAAAATTAACATCGCTAGATTAATTCCTTCTCTTTTGTCATGCAAATTCAATTGGTAAGTAATCCCCTTACTCTGTGTCTCTTTCTGTCGCCCCATTTCACGGACACTGAGTCCCTCCTCCCCCAATCTTTGCCTAGTCTCTCTGTCATCTCTCTCTCCCCAAATCTCACACAATCTCCCCCATCACTCGTCTCTCTCCCCATCGAGATAGAGATCATCTCCTTTCCATACCGAAAATTATCCCCAAAATACTGACCTAATGTCCCACCCATTACATGCCTGAATGTCTTCCCCAATTCTCCTCCTTCTTCATGCCTTCTTTCTTTCACCACCGTTGCTCTATCTCTCTCACCCTTAACACCAAAGCAACATTCGGCCTCAATGCCTTCGTTTTGCGTCAAATGTATGTCGTCTGCCCTCAAATCACACACATACATACATGCATACACACACACCCCATGCATGCAACACAAACGATAGCACACACCAGTACCACCCCACGCCACCTCATCCCATCCTCTCTGATTTAGCAAACTTCCCACACCTCTGAATCAACCTTTTTTATTTGTTTCTTAAGTGGTTAATAGGCTTTTAATTTGAACAAGTAGTAGCCAAAGTTTTATATCCCACATGTTCGGCAAAATTACCCAAAGAACTATGAACATTTTATTTTGATGATCTTACTTTTCTGGGTGTTTTATAGCCCACGCCAACAACATCCCCAACCCAAAACCCCTGCCCACGCTACCAGCACCACCCAATGCCATATCATCGTTGTCCACTTAAAACTATGATGCTTGGATTAATGTTTAATCAGTAGATTGATGGTAGTTTTATGCTAAAGCTAATTGTTATGATATTAACCTTGGGTTTTTTCGAATAATCCGCTCACTGACTGTATGTTTTTAGTGGTTAATAGGCTTTTAATTTGATCAAGTACCCAACATTGGTTCCTACCAATTAAGAAGTGCACAACACATACCCCCAAAATGTATTGCATAATTGTTCTACCATTATAGTTTCTGGTGTTGAGTTGATTTAATTGGAATTTTGTGTTGATTTACTTGGATTTAATTTCAATTTCGACGTAAAATTGAAATTAAGAGTTAGTAACTTTAAGTGTTATTTGGCTTGCATGGCTGAATTGTGCAAAGACACACATGTCAGAGGATGCTTTGATATGTGTGTCCTTTGCACAATCAATAGCTACAAGTACTGTGTAATGCCCGTGATCATCCACCAACATAGCATGTTCTGGTGTTGTCCCATCGAAGTTCTTGCTCTATCAATCATTTGCACAGGTGACCCATTTGCTATATAACCTTTCAAATTCTCCAAAGATTGAGTATTCTATGTTTAAAATCATGTGCGTAATGGTGAGTTGCTGAGTTCTTTGTGTGGAGTTAGTAACTGTGTTATTTGCCTTGCATGGCCAAATTGTGCAAAGGACACACATGTCAGAAGATGCTTAACTACCCAGATGGATTTAGAAGGTTAAGGAATTTTTTTGGGTAGCCTTGCTATTTGTAAATCATTTTCTTTTTTTCTATTCTATCCTTCTATTTTGAATCTTCTTGCTCAATCAACAGCTACAAGTACTGTGTAATGCCGATGATCATCCACCAACATAGCCCCATCAAAGTTCTTGCTCTATCAATCATTTGCACAAGTGACCCATTTGCTATATAACCTTTCAAATTCTCCAAAGATTGAGTATTTTATGTTTAAAATCATGCGTGTAATGGTGAGTTGCTGAGTTCTTTGTGTGCATTCACCAAAAAGAGTGCAGAATTTTGGTCATTCTAATTAAAACCACCCTTTTAAATTATGGGCATTCTAATTGATCTTACTGGGTATGGTAGTAAATGTATTTCCATTTTTGTCTTACCCCAATTTTGTGCAATAAAGGTAACGACTATAGAATAAAAAGAAGATTCCAAAGCATAAAATTTGAAGGGTATAACGTCCACCAAATTTACTTGCGTTGGTTATAAAGTCTTTTATAAATTTTGAAGGGTAGATGTTTGATGAAAGACGTTGAAGAGTATAGTGAGATTGTTTACAGATTTTTTGGTATACATCATTATTATGTTTTCAAGATAGTAATGAGTAATTAGGGAAATTAAAAAAATAAAGTAGGTAACAAAACACTGAACCGAATTTTTTTTAATCGTACTGCTCTTGAACCAATATAAATATTTGTCATTTGGTACCTACTGAATTGGTTGCATCATTTGGTACAAATTAAATTAGTTTCTTGCATTCAAAATTGAGCATACTGATGAAGCCAATATTTTCAATTAGAATACTTTCGCCTCACATCGTAGGGCAATTTGAAGATTTGGAGAATGGAGCTTCTTGATTGTAACAAAACAAATTTGGGTAAATAATGATTTCATAAAATTGTGATTACATCCAAAATAATGCCGACCAACTTGATCATTTTGGGCTTCGATAGTAGTTGTGACTACACTGTTGCTGTTGTTGTAAGTTATATCTGTGTATGTGTGGGGGTGTGTGCCTTTGGTTCTGTTCTCAATGAGTTTTGACTGTTCTCTTTTTACAAATTGATTTTGCAACTAATGACAATGTTCACAACAATGTCCTCTCAAACATTACGTGGATCCAAGATTTTAAGCGAACTATGATGCAATAGGGTAACAAGGAGTACAGTTAATGCGCTTGCAATGTTCACATAATTGTCTCCCATTTTGATTTTCTAATTTTAGTTTTGAGATGAGATTTTCGTTTATGAATTTGTTGATTGGAGATTAATGAATTAAGGGCACTCTTCCACTGCCATGATTGTTATTTTGAAAACCCTTTATATATCCTTTCCATTTGTTATATCTAATTAATGGCCACACCCAGGTACAGGAATAAAATAGGCAAGATTTGCATTTGCAATGGAGGTTTTGTCAATTGTTCTTGGGTATTGGATGTGAAAATTGTTTTTTTCCCTAAGTTCTATTGTTATTAGATGCTAAGTGCACCGTGTAGATTTCACATGTAGCTAGTTTTTTTCTGTGAACTGTGTTCATTTTGAAAATACTGGCACGATGACATTGGTTTTTCTAGATAAGGAGGTTTACACTAAAATCATGCAAAGTGAACACGTATATTTACAGATCAGGAGACATTAGCGAGAGTTAAATCCAAGACATCTAAGTTAGCGATTTGTTCTAAACTATCTCTTTCCACTGGACTATCCGAATGGGTTATGTTGTTATATAGTCATTAGAATTGACAAAAAAGGTGGTCAACTTTCAAGTTTACTAGGGTATTAGCAGTATTGAGACTTTTGTGATGCCTTTTTAAATTGTGAAAAGGTCTTAATTCTATATCATAACAATGTTTATATATGGATTTGTGTTGGTAAATGCAACAGACTTGGGTGGTAAAGTCAATAAAATCTATTTTTCCATGGCTTGGATTGTGTTGAAGTTCTTTGGAAGTTGATTTGGGTCTATTTGTTTGTGTTGGATTGGATACATTGCGTCTTTTTTTAGGTGGCATAGAGGAAGTTAACGAATAGTGATTGTGAGACAAACTGTGAATATTGTGCATTTCACCAGAATTTGATGTAGGGAAAAAATTTTTGATGTAATTTTTGTGTTACTTAGTGCTTTCAGACACGGACAATTTCTAGTACCTAAATATGTGTAAAAAATAATGTGAGTAACTCTTAAACAAATATACCCAAATTTTGGTCAAAGAGCCACTCAAATTGTACATTTTTGGTCACGAACTATTGAAATTTTGGTTAAAAGCCATCCAAATTGCACATTATTGGTCAAGTGCTACCTAAATAATTTTTTTGCTCATATTTAGGTATCACATGACTAGTTTATGATAAATAATCGTTAATAATTTGGACTCTATCTATTTTAGAGACCACATAGAAAATATATTCAATACTTCATAGCCAAAATGATACAATTAAATATTAGAATCTAAAATGAGATAAACCCTATACTTTGAGGATCTCCTGTGCAATAAATCCTAATGAAAATTAATATACAATTGGGAGAATTATATTTAGACCCTCTGAAGTTTATCACTTAATTACTTAAACTCCTAATATTTGAAATATTATACAAAGACCCCTAAAATTTGTTTGCGCGTAACACTTAGACTCATGTTGTAAATATATCAATTAATAAATTACACTTAGACTTCCTTGAAGTTTGTAGGTATGAAATACTTAAACCTCTTAAGTTTAAAATATTATACTTACACAAAAAATACTCCAATCAATGATAGAATATCAAATATTTTAAATTTTACAACTAAAATTCCTATTCTATTGTATTATTTATTGAAATAAAATTAAAATTAAAAATTTAATTTTTTTCTTAAAAAATTGTAATTAATATACAATTATACTATCTATTGGAATAAAACTAAAAAAATCAAATAAAAGGGTCTAAGTCATTCATAATAAAACATAAATTTTTCATCAAAAATTCATGTTCTATTATGTCATTTATTTACATAAAATCAAAAATAAAAATATAATTAATATATAATTATACTATCTATTAGAATAAAACTAAAAAAAATTAAATAAGGGGTCAAACTGTAATGGACACAATATCTTTTAACTTTAATTGAGATAGTTTGGTATTTTAATTTAGTAGTTTAAACAATCAAGTTAAATTCCAATAGACAATATAATTGTATATTAATTACGATTTTTTAAGAAAAATTTGAATTTTTATTTTTGATTTTATTTCAATAAAAGATAAATAGAATAAAAATTTTAATATATAAAATTTAAAATATTTGATATTTTATCTTTGGTTAAAGTATTTTTGGTCTAAATAGAATATTTTAAACTTAAGGGATCTAAATAATATATGTTTATAAACTTTAAAGGGTCTAGTTGTAATTTATTAACAAATATATTTACAGTAGGGGTCTAAGTGTTATTTACGTACAAACTTTAGAGGGTCTGTGTGTAATATTTTAAACGTCAGGGGATCTAAATGATTAAGTGACAAACCTGAGGAAGTCTAGGTGTAATTTTTCATGTACAATTATGTAGTTGACAAAGAATAGTACCAAAAGTAAAATAAAGGAAAAACGGATTCGAACTCAATAATGTAAAATATGGCAGGCAATCTCGAGCTACTCTAAACTTGGAGCTTGGATAATCTCTATAATTAAATCAACTTTTAAGGGGAGATAATAGCTTCCCAAGGAAAAAGCATCATTCGATTATGCTATATAGCACTTGGAACTTTAAAGGCAGAGTACATGGCATATGCATCAAAGAGATTCAAGACATAGCCAATGGTCCGTTTGGTAGAATGAAAATACGAAAAAGAGCGAGGAATAGACGGACATTTCATTACTTGGTGGGAAGAAAAGGGATGGAAAGAGGGGAGGGACTTCCTCCAGGGCTACAAAATTCT